TTCGTCATTTATTATGACTATTGAATTTAGACTAGTAATTGAACATATTGATTAGTTCGGGTTCGGCCAAGTATTTCATATGATAGCTACAAATCATTGAGGGTCTTAAAGATATCGTTTTTCCTGTTAATGCAAAAGGAACGAATAAACTTTGACTATATAAGCATACCATTTACTCATCATGTCATACATGTAATTACACTTTATCACATCCAGTTACGAATGTGTTGGAGTAAACCAATGCACAACATATTTGCAAACTATATCTATTTGTAGAATATAATATATTATCATCTTAGAATTAATTGTGATTGAATCCATGAAGTAATCTCTAAGAACGGGTTTAACCAATACTTAAAATCCTTATTTTCCAAGTACACATGAATATTGCAACAATCTCTATGCAATTTCCAATCCCTATGGACAATCTACAATCAGTTCATGACAGTCTTAAATTAATACCTACTCCCAAAAGTTTGACTAACTGTGGCATTTCGAATAAATTAATATTGAGGATGTAACATGCTAAATGAAACACAATAATAAACAAATTGTTCTATGGCATCTCTTTGATTATAAATAATTCCCCATTATTTAATCACCATAACAATTACATATTTATCTATTGTATAAATGTTTCGTGGTAATTAACTTAACAACTAAACTTATCAACATTTCTCATGCCAATGGTCTTAGCATGCATATCATGTTTTACTTTGGTCATCACTATTGTGAACGAATCATCGAAAACATATTCAGTTCACAACTAGATCTCCATCATCTACTCTTTTCTTGGATGTAGTGGAAATTTCTCCTTCTATGCATTGACTTTCTGTGATCTCAAGAATCCTTAGTCAATATGACTACACTTTCATAGAATGTTTCTAATGGCAACTTGTTACTAAAAAAAAAATCCAAGGTCAACTAGGAAGTTTTCTATTCCAGGTACGTTCCTTGGATACTTCATTTGCACTAATGTGGTCTTACCCGTATTGTTGAATCTACCACCAGCTCCTACATCAAAACCTTTCATGCTACAACTCCATTTAGACTATGACTCAAAGTCATCTCTAAAATTCATGTCACTATAACTCTTCTAAATCATGTTCTTTACTGTCTACAAGCAACCACTCCTAGGTATCTTTTAATACTTCAAAATATTCTTGACACTTGTCTAGCAATTCAGTCATACCAATTTTCGATCTAATCTCATGATGCTCAAAACATCATATGAACACAAGTCATAGCATTCATGATTGATCCTATATTCGAAGCATTTGAGAGTCGACTCATCCTATCATTTCATGACTAGTACAAAGGACTTTTGAGATTCAACTCAACTCCTTGTTATGAAGCATATGAACAATCCCTTTGGAATTTTCCAAAACCTTTCAGCAGATTATGCTTTGACTGAATCCTATTAAAATTTTAATCTATACTTTTAGATCTGAATACCTAGTATCAATTTCGCTTTCCCGTGTCCATCATAGTGAAACAATTCTCAAGCTTTTGCACTTTGCAACTTAAATACAATGTATCCTATGAGTAGTATTGTCATCAACATGAATTACTAAGAAGACAATGACACTCCCACTAGCTTTGACATGTACTCAAGACTCATATGTACTTCTAGAAAGACAACACTCTTTGAATTTCTTATGAAAGAATAGATTCATGCTACGTGATTCTTGTCTGAATCTACACACCTTGTTTAGATACTTTGTATGTTAAAATCCTTTCAAAATATGTCATATATATTCGAAAGTTTCCTATTGAGGAAATTAGTTTAAACATGTACTTTACCATATATTTAATCAAAGAAGGCAACTGTAGTAACAAATAACCAAATAGACCCTTTCTAAGCTAGCGGTGAGAATGTTTTCTCATAATCAATCTCTTGAGTTATGAGCGAAATCCATTTCTACCATACTAGCTTTGAATGTGTGTACATTCCTATCCATGTTAGTCTTCACATTGAAGATCTAATTACAATCTACTGTCACAAGACTAGGGTTTGGCTTAACCAATTTCAAAATTAGTTATCCTTCATGGACTAAGTTTCGTTATCCTTAGACTCTTCTTATGGCAGCCATAGGATCCACCATTTCTTCCTAATAGTTATTAGGCTTATCCAAATTGATCAATGTTCTATCACCAATCAACGTGTCTCCGTCCATAGTTAGATAAAACTCATAAAACTTAGGAGGTTCTCTAACTCTACTACATCTTGCAAAGAGGTAAGGCAATGTAATTTGACTCAACTAGTTTTCTAACCTTAGGTTGAGAGCTAGTGCCAACTATATGTTTATTTTCGGTTATATATCGAATATCTTCAAGATCAATATGACTCCACTGACTTTTTGATATATATATATATATATATATATATATATATATATATATATATATATATATATATATATATATATATATACATGTGTGTGTGTTTCTTTCTCTCAATGAACACTCCTTTTGAGCTATTAGCATCACATATATCAAAAATCTTAAGTGAATACCCAACAATGTAACACTTCTCAAATCTCGATTCAAGTTGATCATTGGTTTCTCGTTTAACAAAAGACCTCACAACACCAGATCTGAATGTGAGGGAACTTTCCAACTCCACATCTCATGAGGTGTCTTCAAAACCTACTTAGTTGGTTACAAGGTTCAAAATATGCTTAACTGCTTCAAGTATATGTTCCCAGAATGTAACTGGTAGCAAAGCACGAGTCATCACAGATTGAGTCATATAGCATTTTATTCTCTTTCTAGCAATACCAATGCATTATAGTGTCCTTGGAGAAGCCAATTATAGAAATCATTCCACAATCTCTATGATGATCATATAACTTAATACTAAGCATTCTCCTTTCCTTTCAGATTGTACATCCTTTATCTTCATGCCCAATGGATTCCCTACATTTTTTTGGTACTCTTGTAACTTTTCAAAGTGTCAGAATTATGCTTAATCATATAAACATAACCATGTCTACTGCACCTATCAATAAATATGACATAATAGTATATATCGTCCCTTATGGTGGATCTGATGGGTCCACACACATTAGCGTGTACAATCCTTTTACTCCATTACATGTCCATGTAAATGGTGACTAAGTCGTCTTTTCCAACATACAAGACTCGCATACATCATCCAACTCAAGGTTGAATGATTCCAAGTTTGGTCCAATTGGAGCTTGGTGATGCGATTCTTACTTATGTGGAAAAGGCAATTATGCCACTAGCGTGATCGTATCTAAAATATTAGAGGAATTAATGTTCAAGTCATCACTGCTATTCTTAGAAACACAAACTAAAATTTCATGAATAACAGTTGCAAGAAAAAGTTTTAAGCATAAAACAACCATCTTTATAAACTAGAATTGTCACATTTCCATTATCAAATGAAAATTGAAATTAATGTTTATACAATGCATAAAATGAAATTTTGTTTTTCTAGACATCTCCGAAGAGTAATAGCAAATAACTAGATCTATCCTAACTCCATTACTAAGCACGAGCTTGAAATCCTTAATCATCAAGACATGTGACACTTGTCCATTCAATTGATTAGGTTTAGCTCTTAATGCTTAGCTTCCTTATTTCCTATAGATCCTACAATGCCATCCAAATTTGATTACCACATCATGCATCAAGGAACCACGAATTGGATGTATGTGGATTTTGATTATTCAAGTACTTGATGTAGAGTCAAACATTTAACTTTACTATCCTAAAATACTTAGGGTAATCTTTGTTTCATATGATCCTTGTCATTGTATTAATTTCAACTTTCCTCTTTTGAATCATTGTTATGTGGTATAGAGGACACACCAATTCCATTCCTTCATAATGGGAAATTTCGGTCGAAAACGTTCCTTTCCATTTAGGATTTAAATGTTTCCTCCTCTTTCCAAGAACGTTCAAAAAGTCAATAACTGGAATTGGATAAGAAGTCTGATTCCTTTCTACTTTCCTTAGCTTGGAGAAGTTTTAATAATTCCATCAATGTTTTCTCTCTACTATTCATATGATAAATCAAGTTGAAAATGCAAAAATGGTCCCTGTAGTTTGTCATTTTTTGTGGATATGGTCCAAACCTTTTAAAAGATGGATTTTTGGTCCTTATTGAGAGGTTTGTATGTGGAACAAGTCCTTGGAGTTAACTTCCGTTTGTTTGTGGTTGTTAAACCCCTCACATGCATTGCACACGAGGGCATAAATGTCTTTTTACTTGAGGGACCATTTTTACAATTCCTGAAATAAACCCATTTGTTACCGTTTTAGCGCCATATTACACAAAAAATATTCTAGTTACCTCTTCCACTTCCATCTTCTTCGTCATTCATTTTGAACGCAAAACCCTAATCAAGATTAGGTCCAAGGTGTCTACTTGTTTTTGTTTTTCAACTGTAAATGGTGTTCGTAATGTGGGCGATTAGGCCAAAAGGCGAGACGTATGACATCACAAATGAATATGGTTAGTTTCACTTATGCTCTGTTTACGAAATTTTCATGGGTTTCTTGATGATCTGAAGAACAGAGCCAAAAATACAAACATCTGACAATCTTTTACTTAATATTTTTTTGTATCTTGTAGAGCGTGAACCAACAATGTTCACCATAAAGTTATTATTAAGGAGCTCTGTGATGGTGATCTTCCAAAAGAAGCAAACGTAACTCAAGTACCAACAAAGGATAAAACCCCAATAATAGATGAAGATAATGATCAAACACAATTGGTAGGCTATATGTCCTTAATACTCTTTGACAGAGTCCCTACACAAGTTTCACCAGAGTATAGAAGAAATGGAAGGGAGAACTCAATAGTTGGTCAAAGTTCTTGTTCCAATAAGCTTCGTTTTGTTGAATTGGATGATGTAGTGGAAGATTAAGGTGGTGATCATGCTAAATTGGATGATGTTGTACAAGATCAAGGTGATGAGAATCATAAATTATATGATGTGGTACAAGATCAAGATGGTGAGCATACGAACATGGATGATGTGGTACAAGATCAAAATGGTGAGCATACGAACATGGATGATGTGGTACAAGATCAAGGTGGTGACCATGCTAACTTTGATTATGATGACTTTCATTATGAAAACTTTTCTCATGATCACTTTGATCCTTTTGATGGAGAACATTATCAACCACCAGAAGATGAGAATGTTGAAGACCATCAGTCTGAACATGAAAAGTCTGCTAACAGTGATGATCTTGGGAAACAATCAGAAGACCAGTACGATGAACTTGTTGATGATGAAAACAATGTATCAGAAGTGGAGGTGGATATGATTGACTTTAACCTCAATCTTGATAGGGATAATGGTTGTGTTCAAATGGATGGGTTTTATAATGGGAAAAATGATGAACATGAGGACATAGAAGTCATTGAAAATGATAGATGGGATTCTTTAGATGAAGGGTCAGATGATGTTATGAAGGTGATGGAAAAGGGAAAATGGCCTTTAACACCTACTGCAACAACCATATTGGATGTAAACAATTCTCATGCATCACATTACATTTCTAGGTGGAATGGAGGTGAGAAATACCAATTCAATGGGGCATAGCAAGATCAACATGTTGTAGATGTTAGGAACAACACATGTACTTGCAGGAAGTGGGAGCTAATAGGCATCCCCTGTAAACATTCCATTGCAACCCTTTATGAAATGACCAAGAACTCAGAGGATGTTGGTGACATTTATAGGTGGGTCAATAAGGTATATTGGTTGGATACATGGAAGAATGCATATTCCTATAAGGTAGAGCCCATAAAAGGAAGAATAATGTGGCCTAAAAGTTTGTGTCCCACCACACTTATCCCTCCAATACATCATAAGAAACCAGGTAGGCCTACAAAGAAGAGGAAGAAAAGTGAGGATGAAAAATTGAGTCAGAGTCAAAGAGGGAGTCAAAGTCTGAGTGGTACTCATGGTGTAAGTCAAGAAGAAGGTTGTAAAGTTGGTCCTGATAGAGTTCAGAAATTAACAAGGAAATATGTCAGTGTAACATGTGCAAAATGCAAAAACAAAGGTCACAACTCAAGGACATGCAAAGGTCAAGGAGGTGGATGAAGGTGGGTTTCCAAGCTAGGTGGAAGTTGAAGATCAAGGTTGTGTTTGTTTTGGTAGATGTTATTTGCTACTTTTGGAAGTGTTTTGATGTTATAAAACTTATGACTTATGGTTATTTTGGTTTTCATTAGTACGATAAGTATTAGAACATATATATGGTTGCATATTTTGGGATAATGTAATTACACCATATGGTTGACAGTCTGGTTGATGTGTTTGTAGTCTATTATGTAATTGCAGCCTTGGTTATTATGGTTTTTGGTTATTGTTGTGTATTATGTAATTGAAATCAATTATTCACATTAACCTTTCTTGTAAAGCAATTCCATAAAATTCACATTTATATCAGGAATTCAGTTACTACATAAACAACTTACTTTGATCTTACAAACAACTACAAAGAACCTAGGTCAAAGTACCAAAAACCATTAATCCAAACAAAAAACCACACTTTTATTGGTCTTCAAGAAAACAAAACCAAACCCATTGCCCTAATACCTAAACCTAAACAGACCATATGAACTAAATCACAAAAAACTGTTAGGAATCGGACCGGGTACACGCAGCGGAAACACACTGCCACACACTCACAAACTCACGAGAAAATAAAGCAATAAAGAACACAAGGATTTTACGTGGTTCGGATTCGGTGTAAATCCTACGTCCACGGGCTGCAACTAGATTTTCTTATTAACTCAATAAGATTACAATTTATAACTCTACAAGTTATATTTGATGCACACATACAAAGGGTTACATCGCACATATATATATAGGAGAGAGAGCCGTACTTTCTTTTGTTTACACAAATTGCCGTCCAAAATTTTCCTTCAATTCACATATTGTGAATATAATATTGCGGTCGTCCATTACCGACCATGCAAAAAATGCGTCCAATAATAAACAATTGATTTGCCATACCTCCATTCAATATTAAACAATTGAATTGTTTAATATTTTTCAAGTTACATTTATGGCCCTTGAACTCTTAGGAACTTGTCAATTTGTTCAAGACTCCATAAATCTTAACAATCTCCCACTTGGAGGCTTGAACAACTTTAGCTTTTCTCCGCCATTCAACTCTCAATTACTCCAGTAATCTTAAAAAAACAACCAAGTCCTTTTAGGCTTCCAGTTCCAATGAACAAGCTAAAACTTAGTCTGATTTCTCTAGTTGCAGCCGCCCCTCATCATCAATTACTAGAAGGGCCAGTTGAAGCTCCCACTAGCTCCAACTCAGCCGTGGCTAATCCCACCACCGACTCATCCTCTGTCTCAACCGGTTTGGACACTCCACCGGATCCAGAGATACACCGAGGACCACTAACACTCTCCAAACATAGCAAACATCCAACAGGAGAGAAATTTTCAGTCTTAGTCTTCAAAACCCAACGGCTCTTTGTAACTGTACCTGGAACACGCCCCGTGCTCCCACTGTCACAGAATCTCCTGAATGGTTTAGACTTTCGAACTCGTTCAGCTAACATCCACTTGGCTCCAGAATTCATGTTTGCAAAATGAAGTCTCTTAGCACTAGATTTAGCGAACCAGATTTTGTTTTGCTTAATCAGGATGGTCATACTTCCCTCAGCAGGTACCTCAACCATATACAATGACCCACGCTTCATACCACGAGCAATCACCAGATCACCATTGACCACCCTCCATTTACCACTACCAAACCTTACTTCCAGTCCTTGCTTATCCAGCTGACCAACAGAAATCAATTTCTTCTTCAGCTCCGGAATCACCCTGACATCCTTCAGGCTCCATGTAGTTCCTAATGAAGTAACCAAATCAATATCTCCCATGCCCGTTACCTGAAGCATCTCGTCATTTGCCAAACGTACCTTTCCAAAATCTCCTTCTTTCAAATTCACCATCGTTTCCCCGTTGTCCATGGCGTGAAACGAAGCCACTGAATCCATGACCCATGAGTCTACAGAACTTTCCATACTGAGTAACAATGCATCATCCCCAGAAAAATTCTCAGCATCAGCAATGTTCAATTCTTTCTTTGGACATTGACTCTTAACATGTCCCACTTCTTGACAGTTCCAGCATTTCACATTCTTCAAAGTTCTAGAAGAACTTTTTCTCTGACTCCCACTGCTCCTGCTATTCCCTCTACCTCTTCCGACATTTAATAAATCAGAAGAGGAAGATCCACCTTGATTCTTGCGTCTGATATCCTCGCCTAGAACCAAATCTCTAACCCCTTCAAAAGTCATACTACTGGTCCCCACGGAACTTGTAACAGCAGTAACTGTTCCGGACCAGCTATCAGGTAGAGAAGCTAGTAGCAGCGAAGCTTGAGTCTCATTATCAAATTTAATTCCCACAGATGATAATCTGGACAGAATTGAATTTAGATTGTTAATGTGAACCGTAACTGAGCCTTCCTCATTCATCCTTGTAGTGAACAACTCCTTCATCAAGAACACCTAGTTAGCCGCCGATGGTTTCTCATACATATTTGACAGAGCCTCCATCATACCATGCGCCGTGGTTTCATTCATGATGTTGAAAGCAACGCTCTTCGTCAATGACAATGTAATAACCGCCTTGGCTTTCTTGTCCTTTGAGTTCCACGCATCTTCAGCAGCTTTTTCCATTTTCTCCGGTTTGTCTCCGAGTACCACGTCCAAGTCTTTCTGACATAGTAATGCTTCTAATTGCATTTTCCACCAGCTAAAATCAGAACCGTTGAACTTTTCGATTACAACCTTGTCTTCAGCCATTATGACAAACAAGAGACAAATCAGGTACACTCGTGCGTGATAAAAAAAAACGATCGTACCCTCCAAACCTCGCTAACCAGGCTCTGATACCAGTTGTTAGGAATCGGACCGGGTACACGCAGCGGAAACACACTGTCACACACTCACAAACTCACGAGAAAATAAAGCAATAAAGAACACAAGGATTTTACGTGGTTCGGATTCGGTGTAAATCCTACGTCCACGGGCTGCAACTAGATTTTCTTATTAACTCAATAAGATTACAATTTATAACTCTACAAGTTATATTTGATGCACACATACAAAGGGTTACATTGCACATATATATATATATATATATATATATATATATATATATATATATATATATATAGGAGAGAGAGTCGTACTTTCTTTTGTTTACACAAATTGCCGTCCAAAATTTTCCTTCAATTCACATATTGTGAATATAATATTGCGGCCGTCCATTACCGACCATGCAAAAAATGCGTCCAATAATAAACAATTGATTTGCCGTACCTCCATTCAATATTAAACAATTGAATTGTTTAATATTTTTCAAGTTACATTTATGGCCCTTGAACTCTTAGGAACTTGTCAATTTGTTCAAGACTCCATAAATCTTAACAAAAACACCCAACTAGCCAACAACAGAATCTTTAGAGCTATGCACCAAGCTTGCATTCGGTTCATATTTCTCAATAGTCCAGGAATAATGACTTTAGACCTTTCACACATGGGGGGGATCAAACCATCCGATGAAGGGACAAGCAGTATCCTTCAAAAAGGGGGAAAACGAATGTTATTAGATTACAAATCAAAATGGGTGCAAACGGATTTCTTTACCTTTTGAGGGCATGCATAGAAACGTATGCTTGGGTTATTCGGTGTCCATGAGCATTTAACAACAACAAACTTACCACAAAAACATAGAACCACTGTGTGATTAACTGACAAGTCGGTCAATAACAAAGAGAGAAGAGAGAAGGAAGAACAACTTGAAAGTTGGAGAACAACGTTCGGGGAAGAACGTTGGGGAAGTCTCCATATATTAGTTCAGGAATTGTAAAAATGGTCCCTCAAATAAAAAGACATTTATGCCCTCATGTGCAATGCACGTGAGGGGTTTAACAGCCACAAACAAACGTAAGTTAACTCCAGGGACTTGTTCCACATACAAACCTCTCAATAAGGACCAAAAAATCCAATTTTTAAAAGGTTTGGACCATATCCACAAAAAATGACAAACCACAGGGACCATTTTTGCATTTTTGTCTAAGAAGTATTGAAAAGTCCAAGCACAAGATCTATAAAAAGGCTCTTGTCAAGGGTCACATTGAGATTCTTAAGTTTGTGCAAGTAGCTCTTATTGATTACATACAAAACTCTTTTTTTCAATTCGACTGTAATTAGGAACTTTTTGATGATTTTAAAATCACTCTTACTTTTCATATTAAGATCATTTTGGAACATCGAGTACATAGACATAATGATGCAAGAGACCCTTTTGACAAATCTACATTTTATGGGAATAACAACTTCTTCCGAGTTGACGTCTTAATGATTTTAGGGATATGCTCATTATGGACATCTTTCCCAATATCAACATCGAGGAAGATCCCATAACAAATAAGCCATTCTTGATAGAGAACAAAGAGAAGCTAGAATTAGAAAGTATGCGAGGAGGTAGGAGAGGATTTCCATCTAACCTAAGAGAGAAAGTTTAA